TTATAGAGAAGGTGGCAGCTGTACTGGTGCTCTGTTAACAATGCATTATTACACGACTCGGGCAGTCAGAGGGCCAATAACTAAAATCAACCAATCAAAATGCTCTATTGCCGGTCAATATTCTCTCAGTATTGGACCGGGCACTGTCCCGAATGGTCCCTAATAGTCCCGAATGATACCGCACATGTGTCCCTTTGAACTTCAGTTGTATAATAAACCTCTTATTAACCAAACTTGCTCGGGACCGTACTGGAAGAATATCGGCCCTCGGTCTTTTTTGTACAGACCCCTCTGCGCTCGGTCCGTACTTTCAAGACCTCGGGCCGATATTCTCCCAGTACGGCCCTGGTGCTTGGTTAATAAGATATATATATCATATTCTTAGGACTTTGGATCAAAAGGGATACGATGCAGTTAGGGTGTTTGCAATGGATTTTAGTGAGGCCTTCGATACCGTCAAACATGATCTTTTATTTTGTAAACTGAAACTCTTACCGCTTAATCCGTATATTTTGAATTGGTATTTAAGCTTTCTTACTGATAGGAGACAACAGGTTGTCTGCAATAGCATTACTTGTGATTGGATGTGCGTGAAGAAACGCACTACACAAGGAAGCGTCATTGGCCCCTCTTTATTTAATATATTCATGAATGATCTGCAAACAGATCCGGACTGTGACTCCTTGTTGTTCAAGTATGGAGATGACTCCACTCTAATCATTCCAGTTTGGAAGGGTGATAGTGATAGTAATACTGCTGCTCATGTAGTTAATAACTTTACAGAATGGTCTATCGATAATTCCATGAAGTGCAATATCTCTAAATGTAAAGAAATGGTTTTCCGAAAGAAGGGCTACAAAAATGTATTAGACACAGTACAGAATATCCCCCAACATTCACATCTATGTATTTTGGGGGTTGCATTTCAAGAAAATTGTAGGTTCTCTATCCACATCAAGAATAAGTTGGCCGCAGCTAATAAATGCCTCTCTATTCTTAGAACCCTTAGGAGGGAGGGTTATTGTCAGGCAGAGTTGGATAAATTATTCAGCGCCCTGGTTCTGCCTAAACTTACGTACGGAATATCAG